TATATATATAAATATATATAAGATAAAACCTTGGGACAAAAATCGAGTGAAATTTTGAAAATGCTTAATGCCTGTGTTACGTTTGTAATGTTTGCGTTTCGTTTCGTGTTCATAAAAATCGGTGAAAATATAATTAGGCAATTAGCTTATACATGGCAAACAATTCCCAGCTAATAGGTAATTCTCTTTCTAGTGGCTTACCCAGTGTTGGGAAACTATAGTTGCACAGAAACATGCTAATATACCCCAAAAATGTTTGTTTATAATTGTATTTAAAACAAAACAAAATAGCTAATTAAGAGGTACTGGATAGCCATCCTCTCACAGATATCTTTTCTGTTTAATTTAATTATGGAACACGTGGAAGAACTGAGTAAGTCACTGAGAGCAACAAATAAAGATAAAATATATCTTATTTGTAACGTTCAAGACGTCTTGAACATTTCCTTGGAAAGCGTTGTTAGTGAACAGCGTGGAACAGTGTTCAGAGGATGTTCAGTTACTGAAAAGAAAGCGTAGTGTTCAAAATGCTATTGATTCACTGAGAAATTGAGGGTCTTATTCAGTTATGAACTCTGGTTCTTGTTCACTGGTGAACTTTGGTTCTTGTTTCATGGTGTTCTTGTTCATCGACGTGCCAGTGAACTTCAATTCCGAAATTTACTTATGCTGTAGATGCTATTTTGTTAATGTGTTCTTCGGAGAACAGTTGTTTAGTTAGATATAAACTCCCAGATCTTCATTCTTTAATGTTTCCGGGTGTAATCTTCCCTTCAGCCTGTACTGACCCAGGTGTTATTTTTCAGTCTTATCCACACTGCGTTGCATTTGTTCGGGTTAAACTCTAGCAACCATCTTTTTGACCAATACTGCAAGTGCAATCAGGTCTCCCTCTTTTTTCACGTGTCTTCCCTTTTAACGTACTTCAGGATCACATGGTACGGACAAAAGGGTATAAACAATTATATATCTTCTGGTTTGGTTATATGCATACAGCAGGTGTAAAGGTATCTACAGGTCTATGCACAGTGGGGTCTGTAACTTGTTATCTTACAACTCTATGGTTATTATTCTGTTATCATGTTGTGTGTGTGTGTGTGTGCTTGTGAGGTGGTTCGTCATAACATATATGTACTTGTATCTCTGTGCCTGTCTCTTCTCTCATCTCTCTCTCTCTCTCTCTCTCTCTCCTCTCCATCTCTCTCTCATCTCTCTCCTCCTCCTCCTCATCTCGTCTCTCTCTCTCTCTCTCTCTCTCTCTCGATGGTTCAGCCCACTTGCTCGGACCGTTGCTTAACCAATGGCTGTATATAACCCAGCTTATCACAATGTGCAACGCCCCCTTCACTGGGGCTCATGCAACAGCCCATTGCACGAGGGTGTTGCTCGCAGTCGATAGTGCACCTCTCGTACTTTACATGTGGCATATGTGAAGAAATGCCTCATGTGAGAATTAATTTGTATGCATGAAATATTTTCATTGTATTTATGTATGTGTATTAGTTTTGGTTTTATTTTTGTATCTGTAGATTTTGTGTCTATGGCTCCTTTTATTTGTTTATCTTTCTTCGTGTCTTCTAGTTTGGTTTCTTTTTAACTACTTAACTTCTTTTTAACTACTTTGTTTTTAACTACTTACATCTGTGTATCTTTCAGACTGACAAACTCCTCTGTCTCTGTCTCTGTCTCTGTCTCTGTCTCTGTCTCTCTGTCTGTCTCTCTATCTCTCTCTCTCCTCTCTCATCTCTCTCTCACCTCTCTCTCTCCTCTCTCTCTCTCTCTCTCTCTCTCTTCATCCTCTCTCTCTCTCTTCTCTCTCTCTGTCTGTCTCTCTCTCTCTCTCCTCTCTCTCCCTCTCTCTCCTCTCTCTCACTCTCTCTCTCCTCTCTCCTCCTCTCTCTCCTCTCTCTCCTCTCCTCTCTCCCTCTCTCCTCCCTCTCATCTCTCTCTCTCTCTCTTCCCCCCCCCTCTCCTCTCTCTCCTCTGTCCCCTCTCCTCTCTCCTCTCTCTCTCTCTCTCTCTCTCTCTCTCTCTCTCTCTCTCTCTCTCTCTCTCACCCGCTAGGAAGAGACCCTTGTCATGGCCTTCACCCAAATAATGATATAAAGATGTATACACCTGACTGTCCCAAATGACTCACCTGTGGGCTGGATCAACTGTTGTTGTTGGTTGAATGTTGGTGGCAGCAGGTGGCTGTAGTTAGCTGCTGGTATTGGCCAAGTGAACTGGTGCAGTGAGGTTGTGATTCGCTGGTGTTGGTGTCGTTAAGAGTCGCGCTCGGTACTGGAATTGGTGGTATTAACAGTGAAAATATAAATGAAATGGGTCGGGTCGAGGGGGTAGTTGTGGTAGTAACGAAAGTGGTGGTAGTAAGAGAAGAATGTAATGGTTAGTGGTGTTGATGGTAGCGGCAAAGGGTGGCTTTAATTTTGGCTTTGATGATGTGCTGGTATTTGTAACTCTGTCTCTCTCTGTCTCTCTGTCTCTCTGTCTCTCTCTGTCTCTTTGTCTCTCTGTCTCTCTGTCTCTCTCTCTCTCTCTCTCTCTCTCTCTCTCTCTCTCTCTCTCTCTCTCTCTCTCTCTCTCTCTCTCTCTCTCTCTCTCTCTCTCTCTCTTTATCTCTCAAATGTTGAGTGGTATTTTGCACTGGCAACTTAGTTATACCAGCGTCTATAATCGGTACTGTTATAGACTGAAAGAGATATGTTAATTATACACTTTTTAATGCGTTTTCGCCTGTAGATAATCATAGAGATCGGTGACCCTCAAGAAGTTATTATAGGACCTTGTTAAGCACTCCAATAAATAGATTATCATTACCACAAACCATTTGTAAAATTATACGCTCTTCAAATCAGTATAAAAGTGATTGTATTACCTAACTGGCTAGAGTGGGATGTTTATGAAGCAATGAGAGGAATATTTAAATTATTCAAGTCTTTAACTGTCTGTAGCTCTTGTATTTCCTTAGCCATTTTCCTGAAGCCCACATCAAGAGGATAACATCAGCGGCTAATGCAAGGCTGGCGAACATAAGAACTACCTTCAGAAACTTGTGAAAGGAATCATTTGGGAACTTGTATACCTCATATGTCAGATCAATACTGTAATATGCAATACATAACGAAGTTAGAAAAAGTTTACAGGTATGCCACCAGGCTATTCCCCGAGCTGAGAGGCATGAGCTATGAGGACTGGAACTGAACCTCACGACACTGGAAGACAGAAGAGTTAGGGGAGACATGATCACTACCTACAAAATTCTCATAGGAATTGACAGGGTAGATAAAGATAAACTGTTTAACACGGGTGGTATGCGGGGACACAGGTGGAAACTGAGTAGCCAAATGAGCCACAGGGACGCTATAAAGAACTTTTTTTAGTGTCAGAGCAGTTAACGGATGGAATGCATTAGGCAGCGATGTGGTGGAGGCTGACTTCATACACAGTTTCAAATGTAGATATGATAGAGCCCAGTAGGCTCAGGAATCTGTACACCAGTTGATTAACAGTTGATAGGCGGGACTAAAGAGCCAGAGCTCAACCCCCGCACGCACAACTAGGTGAGTACACACACACACACAAGCACAAATATACATATACACGCATACATATATACACATGTAAGTGCGAGTGTGTGAATGCCTGAGGGAGATCACTCATACTAGTATTATCATCACTCATAATCATAAAAGGAAAGCATGTATACAGGTGCATGCACGCACTCGTGTGACCTCATCAATCTGTGCTTGTGGAGGTATATATATCTATATTATTATATTCATATATATATATATATATTATATAATATATATATATATCTATATATATAATTATATAGATATTATATGTGTGTGTGTATATCACGAAAATAAACACGTGACCTTAAGAAGGTGACAATGTGACCACGGAGGAAAAAGGAAACAGGAAATTTCCGAGTCCTTCGTATATTAATACATCTTCAGAAGGTCTTCTGAAGATGTATTTAAATAGTATAGGAAATTTCCTGTTTCATTTACTCCGTGGTAATTGTCATATATATATATATATATATATATATATATATATTATATATATATATATCTATATATATATAGATATATATATACATGTATGCAGAATAACCACATATGAAAAATAGAAAAGTAGACATTCTACTTTGCTCTGATGAAGGCAAATTAGCCGGAAACGACGTTAAGTATTTTCTATTTTTCATATGTGGTTTTATTCTGCATACTTGGATCAGTGTTTTTGTGATCATTGTTGCATATATATATATATATATATATATATATATATATATATATATATATATATATATATATATATATATATATATATATATATATAGATGTATGTATATATCAGGTCGGAACTGCGTCACTGGTATGTAACGGGTACTCACAGTTGCTTTGCGTGCCTCACTCAATTACACTCTTGAGAAGGTCACCTGAATGAACATATTGAACCGTTTCTCACCCCTCAAGTGGAAGCTTAAAGCTTCCACTTGAAGGGGTGAAATAATTCGGAACTGAATACGAAATTAGGCAAAAATTAAGATGTGTTGAGCTACAGCTCTCTGGTTCCGCCTCATAGCCTTGGATCTACTTGTCTACAAGTTCCCAAAGTCTATTTATTTGGCTGTTACAGATTAATTTTAAGCTGGTTTTATTTTTGGGGGGAGTTTGGGGAGAATCTCCAACTCTTCACATATATCAGTGTTTTGTATGCCTGTGAGCGTGCGTATGATAGCGTGTGCGTGCGTTTAATGGTGTGTGCGTGTCTGATTGTGTGTGTGTTTGCTTTGGCGTTAGAAATGGTGTTTTAACATTTAAATTTTGTATGTAAATTTGTTTTAATTATATGTATATCATGATGAATAATTATAAACAAAATAACTTCACCACTTGAGACTCGCAGAACATAAGAATTGTATAGGTAAATGGAAAATTAATGTTAAAACAGGTGTTTTCTGCTTAGAGTGCTGAAAAGTGGTGCTCTTCTGCGTATAGTGCTGAAAATTTGCGATTTTTGTGTCCACTGTTGAAAACTGGTGTTATATTACGGTCATTGAACAAAATTTGTGTTCTTTTGCGTTCAGTGATAGAAATTGGAGTTGTATTTTATCTAAAAATAATTGTGTTAATTTTATGCTGAAAATTACTATATTCTGTGGTGAAAATTTCCGTAGTCTTTCAGTGAAAATGACTGTAATAATATCGTGAAAATTTATGTAATCATATGGTGAACATTTCTGCAATATAATCAATTATTGCAGGGAACTGAGATAATCAGCTAAGTGAAACCCGTTTGTTGAGTAAGTGAGGTGGTCAAGTGGTGTGTACCTCCTTGAGACTGACCACATTCCACAGATCGTAAGAGAAAGAACTTTTGTTGTCAACCTGTGATGGAAAATAACCTTGTGATGGTCTACTCCTCCTGGTAATCAGTTAGATGAAGTGCCTCTAATTGCCAGCCTGAGAGTGATCACATTAGTGTCGACGAGGCAGAGTGATCAAGTGAGCAATATGATAAGTTGTGTGGGTGTTGGGGAAGGAGGTGGTGGTGGCAGAAGCCAGCTACAGAATGGTGGCAGTAGCCAGCTACAGAATGGTAGCAGTAGCCAGCTACTGAATGGTAGCAGTAGCCAGCTACTGAATGGTGGCAGTAGCCAGCTACAGAATGGTAGCAGTAGCCAGCTACTGAATGGTGGCAGTAGCCAGCTACAGAATGGTGGCAGTAGCCAGCTACAGAATGGTGGCAGTAGCCAGCTACTGAATGGTAGCAGTAGCCAGCTACTGAATGGTGGCAGTAGCCAGCTACAGAATGGTGGCAGTAGCCAGCTACAGAATGGTGGCAGTAGCCAGCTACAGAATGGTGGCAGTAGCCAGCTACAGAATGGTGGCAGTAGCCAGCTACAGAATGGTGGCAGTAACCAACTGCAGCAACTCTTCAGGACGTGTGATAAGGAGGGTAAGTGACTGAAGTCTTTTCATTTAATTTTATTAATTCAGGCGATTTTCTTTTCCCTCAAATTTCCATTGTAAAAAGATACATTATATACATTAATTTGCCATACTTTGGGTTAATAATTTTCTCGGTCAAAAATTATTTCAGTAAACAGTTTTAACAATACTATTCACAGATTGATCTTAAGTTAATTTTTACGAATTGTAGCACAATCGGTTCGTACTGTTTTTAGGTTTAAAAGCATCCTTTCGGTTTCTTTCCGTTTCAGTTTAGTTTACAAATGTTCCAGCTGTAATGCTGCATGTTTTGGAAGTTAAATTAGGAACTTTAGGATAAGAATCCTGAACACAAAGTTTCCAGGATTTGTGTTTTTGAACTTTTTTAGAACTAAAAGTTCTAAAAATTTTAGAACTGGCTTTACTCTCGACCAAACCATAGTTCACGGAAATTAATGAGCATACTCTTTTGAATAGAACTTTGTCATTTCAAATGAAGCAATAGCTTTCTTTTTTCCTTTGATTAATTGAGTCTTTTGTACGTTAAAGAGCTTCGTCCTGTTTAGTATAAACATTGGGCTAAACACAGACATATCTATGCTAATTTACATAGTTTACGTATATAGTCTTCCGGGCTTGGTACCTTCTTTTGATAATTACATTACACAGTTTACATTCGACATTATATATTTTCTTTAACTTCCGGTTTTAATGATATCTAGTGGATTGCATTTTTGGGAAGTCTAAATATGTGTTTTCTTGTATTTTTTGTTTTACTAAGAAATTAATGTGGATTAGTCATACATTGAACTGTTTTATAGTTTCTGTTATCAGCTTTTGTGGTGATTCTGATAATTCATTTTATTTCTGTTTAATATGAACTCCCATTATCGTTTACTTTCTCATAATATCTTGAACTGATTTTGCATATTGTTATGTACATATATTAATATTGTTATGGTATATATATATATATATATATATATATAGATATATATATATATATATATATATATATATATATATATATATACATAAAGGTATACACAGTTTCGGTATATATATACACTGACAGTTTCCTTTTTGTCCTGCACATAAACACTGCATTTATGTCCTGTACTTTTTGTTTAGGACAAAAATACATTTCCTGGTTGGTCAATAAGGTGTTGTGGTGGCCTTAATAACCTTTCGCATGTTAATAGGCTTTAATAACCCTTTAGAGGATAATATGTCTTATTAACCCCTCAAGAGGCTGTTGGGTCTTAATAACCCTCCAGAGGGTGGTAAGCCTTAATAACCTCCCGCTCTTGATAGGCCTTAAGTCCAATACCAAACGAGCGTTGTTGTCGGTCTTGCATCTATTGACCACTTAACGTGAGTAGAGTCTTGGTATATTTTAAGGTGTAGTGTATATTTAAATGTTGTTATATATTTTTTAACTTTGTGTTTTAATTATAAAATATTGTGTTCAGATTTAACTGATTTAATACAGATATTTAGCATTTATTTGATGTTTTGTGTGTGTGTGTGTGTGTGTGTGTGTGTGTGTGTGTGTGTGTGTGTGTGTGTGTGTGTGTACTCACCTAATACTAACCTAATTGTGCTTGCGGGGGTTGAGCTCTGGCTCTTTGGTCCCACCTCTCAACCGTCAATCAACAGGTGTAGATGTTGTGTGTGTGTGTGTGTGTGTGTGTGTGTGTGTGTGTGTGTGTGTGTGTGTGTGTGTGTTTGCATTAATCCCAATTTGCTTTATCATTCCATTATGTGTCAAATCTGATCAAATCGGAAACTCAGAGTTCATGAGTAATTGTTCGATTCCTAACGTCGACCGCAGGCAAGGGCTACATCGTTGAACAGGAGCTGCGAGAGCTGTGTACTGGGCTGGGAATCGCTGCCGAGGATTCGGACGTAATCTTCAGCGACCTGGATCAGGACAAGGATGGGAAGATCAGCTACAGCGAGTTCTCTAGAGGCTTCATAGAGTTCCTCAGCCCTGGTACCGAGGCCCAAACAAACCGAAGGTTTTCAATATGGTAAGTGTCCCCCTTCCTCGGTAGCTCTTAAGTTCGTTTTCTTTGAGTCATGTTTATGATGTATATAAAAAGGAATGATATTGGTTTGATTTTGGTAGATTTGATACACTGCACTATTTTATTATTATAATTATTTAGCTGGTATTTTTATATCAGTTTTATTTATATTTACTCACACACACACACACACACACACACACACACACACACACACACACACACACACACACACACACACACACAAAACTTCTAATAGAAACTTCAGCGCAGTATTGTTTAAAGATTTGAACATCAAACTAAGGAAGCAAAGATGAACAGTTGAGACTCGAGTGAGTCACAGAGCTGTCAGAAAAGCCCATCTCCCAGCATCAACAAGTGAGATAGGATAGACGAAGAACTCATTGATAATACTTCAAAACAATGTTTAAATGTAGATATGATAAAAAATGGGGACTGAGCATTCAGAAGCCGGGGCCGGGAGCCAAGTTCGCCCCTGCACCCCCTCCTAAGGTGAGTACAGCGTCACTCACATCTCTTTTATCCCACAGTGGAGGATCGACGGTTGAGGACGAGAATGAGGAGGATGCTGTGGGTATGAGGGAAGCCAAGATGAGGAGGAGGGAGAGTGTACATCAGGCCTGGAGCTGCCTCACTTCCAGCTTGGCTCAGCTCACCAATACCACAGTAGCTGCTGAGAGGTAAGGCTCAGGGCAGGGATGAGGAGTATGAGGATGGTGAGAGGTAAGGCTCAGTGCAGGGATGAGAATATGTGAGTGTACACACATATTTGTGTCTGCAGGATCGATCATTGAGCCTTGTATCCCGCCTAATTGTGTGTGTGTGTGTGTGTGTGTGTGTGTGTGTGTGTGTACTCACCTATATGTACTCACCTATATGTGCTTGCAGGATCGAGCATTGACTCTTGGATCCCGCCTTTCGAGCATCGGTTGTTTACAGCAATGACTCCTGTCCCATTTCCCTATCATACCTGGTTTTAAAATTATGAATAGTATTTGCTTCCACAACTGTTCCTGAAGTGCATTCCATTTCCCCACTACTCTCACGCTAAAAGAAAACTTCCTTACATCTCTGTGACTCATCTGAGTTTCAAGCTTCCATCCATGTCCTCTCGTTCTGTTACTATTCCGTGTGAACATTTCGTCTATGTCCACTCTGTCAATTCCTCTGAGTATCTTATACGTTCCTATCATGTCCCCCCTCTCCCTTCTTCTTTCTAGTGTCGTAAGGCACAGTTCCCTCAGGCGCTCTTCATACCCCATCCCTCGTAGCTCTGGGACGAGTCTCGTTGCAAACCTCTGACCTTTTCCAGTTTCATTATATGCTTCTTCAGATGGGGACTCCATGATGAGGCGGCATACTCTAAGACTGGCCTTACGTAGGCAGGTAAAGCGCCCTAAATGCCTCCTTACTTAGGTTTCTGAATGATGTTCTAACTTTTGCCAGTGTAGAGTACGCTGCTGTCGTTATCTATTAATATGTGCCTCAGGAGATAGATTAGGTGTTACGTCCACCCCCAGGTCTCTTTCACGCGTCGTTACAGGTAGGCTGTTCCCCTTCATTGTGTACTGTCCCTTTGGTCTCCTATCTCCTAGTCCCATTTCCATAACTTTACATTTGCTCGTGTTGAATTCTAGTAGCCATTTCTCTGACCATCTCTGCAATCTGTTCAGGTCCTCTTGGAGGATCCTGCAATCCTCATCTGTCACAACTCTTCTCATCAACTTTGCATCATCCGCAAACATCGACATGTAGGACTCTACGCCTGTAAACATGTCGTTGACATATACAAGAAATAGAATTGGTCCCAGCACCGATCCTTGTGGTACTCCACTTGTTACTGTTCGCCAGTCCGACTTCTCGCCCCTTACCGTAACTCTTTGGCTCCTTCCTGTTAGGTAGGTATGTGTGTGTGTGTGTGTGTGTGTGTGTGTGTGTGTGTGTGTGTTTCTGGAGGACAACCTTTTAATCTCTTGCGATAAAAAAAGATATTTCCAAGTGAATTAAAGCGAACATTATTGAAATAAAACCAAATTATGACATAAAAACAGCGCAAAAATATATTTTTGGGTGGAGGAGGGGGAGGATTTTTTTTATTTTATTTTAGGAGTTGATATAGACAGCACTGAACCTGATAGCACAAATTCCCAAATCAAAATAATTATTGATTCACGATATCTCGAAAGCACACACACAAATACGTCTAATTACAATTTTTTCACTCGACTTTGGGTTACATGTCGAGGGAACTCATCAGGAATATAACGATTTTCTTATTCTGTCTGACGACTTTTCACCTTGAAATGCGTGTGTGGGTCACGCGCCTTGCAAGATATGTTGCAATGAGCTCTTGCGTCCAGATGTTTATTGGGTGTAAGGGGGGTGAAAACGAGATAAGTGGTTTGAGTGTATGAGAACCTCATGCGCTATTAGTGGTTTAAACATATAAGTACCTCATGAGAATTGAGATTTGAGTGTTTTTTTAGAATCTCGTGAGATTAGGGGGAGGGGGAGTTTGAACGCACTAGAACCTCACGCCCTCATACATACCTCATGGATATATATCGTGCTCAAACAGGCGGAATATGTGAGACTCATATTACAATGACACATGCATTGCACGCCATCAACCACCCACTGCTTGTTGCACCTGCATTCACTGCAACACACACACACACACACACACCACAGTTGCACTACATACCCGCATCACCCAAACACATCTGCACACAACACCAGTATCAACACTATACATGCACTCACACACACACACACACACACACACACACACACACACACACACACACACACACACACACACACACGCACACACGCACACACGCGAGACACACACTCACATAACGCATCTATACCCACTATATCTTAATATATCACACCACTAAGAACCTATTAGCATCAGAATATAAGAAGTTGCTAAACGATTACTGCCTTATGAGAGGCAGATCCTCTCTAAAATTACACGGTAAGTCATCCCTCATTTCAGTAACTATATTTCCAAACCTGTATTTTATAAATCTTAACTTATGCAATGTTAATCTCTTGTCTTATGGTCAAACTCTTTCATATATTTTAGAACTCTCTTAGTTGTTCCGTTCTTAAGCCGTTTCGTTCATATGAACGCTTCACTCACGTTCTATCTCAGCTGACGTTTTGCGAGGGAGTGCAAACTGAGATGTGTTGTACTCTCTCTCTTTTTAAACCACGTTCCTAATATACGAAATTAACATAAAAGAATAGGAATAAATGAAATAACAGAAAGCCAATTAGCCTAAACATCAGAGGTCCGCGGTTGTTCAACGTCCTCCCAGCAAGCATAAGAAATATTGCCGGAACAACCGTGGACATTTTCAAGAGGAAACTAGATTTATTCCTCCAAGGAGTGCCGGACCAACCGGGCTGTGGTGGGTATGTGGGCCTGCGGGCCGCTCCAAGCAACAGCCTGGTGGACCAAACTCTCACACGTCAAGCCTGGCCTCGGGCCGGGCTTGGGGAGTAGAAGAACTCCCAAAACCCCATCAACCAGATATCAACCAGATATCAGCCTAGATGAGGCAGTTCCTATCCACCCAAACTCATTCGTATATATATGTTTAGCCTACGCTTAAAACAATCAAATCGATCCCACGTTTATTTTGTTACCCGATAAGCTGTTTCATAAATCAAAGAACCTTTTTTTCAGAGCAGAATGTACCCAGTTTTTTTCCAGAATCTGAACTTCTGTGGTATGACTGTTTGATGCGTCCAGGTAGCAACCTGTTGGACTAAGTTGTCACCAGTCAAGTCTGGCCCCCAGGCAGTGCTTGGGAGGGGGTGTGGGGGTTACCTTACCTTGAGGTTACCTTGAGGTGCTTCCGGGGTTTAGCGTCCCCGCGGCCCGGTCGTCGACCAGGCCTCCTGGTTGCTGGACTGATCAACCAGGGTGTTGGACGCGGCTGCTCGCAGCCTGACGTATGAGTCACAGCTGGGGGTAGAGGAACTTCCAAAATTCACTCCAAATATACTCTGATATACCCCTTTGAAATAGTCATAATGGCTGAGCACTTGATTACTCTGTTATACTGTCTATGTATTCCGTTCATATACTTTGTATTCCTTATATAGTACGTTGGGGGGATCTTACGAGGATAAAATAGAGTTCAAGGATGATGATAGAGTGATCATGTTAGAGTTCGTGCTGTTTGTGCTGCAATGTAGCCCTCCTCATAACCTATGGGGCCTCGTTATGATATTTAGGTATAATCTTCTCTACTCTAGATCCTCACTGATCGTGACGTCCCAGGTACTTATCACAATTTTGTAATTTCGTAATTTTTGTCCATTGTTGTGCTAGTATCTGGTCCTTTGGATATATTTGTAAAAGGCCATGCTGTAATCCCTTATATGCAGCTTCATATACAGGCTTAATCCCTTAATCCATTAACAGCTGGCAGACGAATTTGACACAAACGCAGGTTCACACACACACACACACACACACACACACACACACACACACACACACACACACACACACAACGCACACACACACACACCCACATAGAGCCATAGAGACCATGGCCATAGAGACGTTAGAAAGATTTTTTTTCAGTGTTAGAGTACTAGACAAATGGAATGCATTAGGCAGTGATGTGGTGGAGGCTGACTCCATACACAGTTTCAAGTGTAGATATGATAGAGCCCAATAGGCTCAGGAATCTGTACATTAGTTGATTGACCGTTGAGAGGCGGGACCAAAGAGCCAGAGCTCAACCCCCGCAAGCACAACTAGGTAAGTACAACTAGATAAGTACACACACACACACACACGTGTGTGTGTGTCCGTGTGTGCGCGCATTATATGACAAAGAGTGCTGGGAAGACGAGACACCACGAGCGAAGCTCTCATCCTGAAACTACACTTAGGTAATTACTCTCACCATGTCTCAACGCAAGTACACTCACTCCTCTCCTTCTCCTCCAACATCGCTTCACTCGTCAACACCCCCAACCCCCCCCCCCCTACTCTTCCCCTCCCCCCCCTCACACAACCCCAACACACCTCCCCCCAAAACATCCATACGTGCCAAGGACACTGAGGCACTTACGAACCAGCCTGGCCGCCAAGGTGCCAACACTGAATAGTCGTAACTCGTGAAACGCCAATACTTCCAGATGTTTTTTTTACAAGTTTCTTGTCCTTGGGATACAAGTTTTTTACAAGTTTCTTGTCCTTGGGATACAAGTTTTTTTACAAGTTTCTTGTCCTTGGGATACAAGTTTTTTTTACAAGTTTCTTGTCCTTGGGATACAAGTTTTTTTACAAGTTTCTTGTCTTTGGGATACAAGTTTTTTTTACAAGTTTCTTGTCTTTGGGATACAAGTTTTTTTACAAGTTTCTTGTCCTTGGGATACAAGTTTTTTTTACAAGTTTCTTGTCTTTGGGATAGGGATGCATATACAGAGAGACAGAGACGGAAAACAGAGAGACAAACTAACAAACACAGACAGGCAAACATACAGACAGACAGAAAGACTAACTAATAAATAGATTAAAGACAAAAACATGAACGAAATTGCCAACAAAAACATAACAAAACCAGATTTAACATTCACAAACAACACAAATTAAAAAGGAGCAGACAAAAACACAGACATACAAATACACCTACACACACACACA